AATAATATAATTTATATTTATTATATATATATATCTTTTTTTTTTTTAACGAAGTAATTGGCCTTACCGGTTCTTCGTTGTTGCGCAAAAACCTAAAAAAGAAAAGAAAAGTGGGCTTGCCTCATTTCACTTTAAATGCTCATGGGTATCCGAGGCCGAGGCCAGGGCCCCAGCAAGGTAACAGAGATGATATTGGGCTTTGTTGTCAATTTGGGCCTACTTCTGCGTCTCGTTACTTTTACTTTAAAAATAAAATTAAAAGTCTTAAACTTTTAATCTTTTCTTTTCTTTTTTCCCCCTTTTTTTTTTACTGCAGTACTCCATAAATCATTTTCTTGTTGAAGAGAAATAGAATTTACTATCTGTTGAATTGTTGATGTTTCCATTGTCTTTAAATTTGTGGCATTACTAGAACATCTGGGGTTTGTGTTTTGATTTTTGCAAAATTTAAGAGCCAACATTATTTGAAATCTGATAATATTGAGGACTATATTGAAATTTAACAATTTTTTATTTAACCTTAAGGGTGTATCTAACCCATTTTTATACATTTTAAAATTAATTTCTTCTCATTCTTCAAATAATTTTAAAAACACACTTTACATCAGTATAATGCATTTAAAGTAATTAATTTCTTTAAATGTTAAGTTTTTTTTTAAATGTGCATTATTCCCTCTTCGGCTATGTTGACTTTAGTTGTTTAAATGAAATAGTTTATGATTGTAACTATTATTAGTTAATAATAAACAACTCTAACTATTGCGTCCTGATTTAAACTTATCAACATAGAATTTCTTGGGACCCAACAATCGAAAAAAAGAATCTAATCTTCAGCCACCTTTTCCTGAAATATTCGTAACCAATAGGCCAATTCAAGACCACGTTGAACCTTTGTATTTCCCGTTATCGTCTATTGGTGGTCACTGCAATTCAATAGGGTTATTGATGGATTGTACCTCTGATTAGTGATTGAACCCTACCAAGAGTAGGTACTAACCTAATTTCTATCTTCTAACCATTTTTCCTGAAAAAAAAAAAAAAAAGAAGCCACTGAATCTCCACTGATCGAGCAAGCTCCGACCTCTAATGCTTTCTTTCGTCATCCTAATCGTCATCAGTTATATCATATCCTTTAGGCGTTGCCAGTGATGCCAGCCAAGGAGCCACTCGCCACTGGCCACAAAAACTTCACATGCAGCATGAAATAGATCAATACCCACCTTTAGTTCACTGTTATATTCCTCGCCTTCTGACTTTCGTCACTGTCGACTTCCACGGCCCAATCCCGCCAAGATTACAGCCACCTCCGCCGCTCCACCCCAAAAGCCACAAAACAAAGAAAAGATGCAAGGCCCACATGAAAAGCAGATAGCAAAGAGGATAGCACTCACTCCAATCCCTAAAAGAAAAGCTGACTAACCATTTCACCTTTTCTTTAATCCATTCAATGATTTGTAGACCAGAATTTAGAAAGAATGATATGCGATGAGCGTGTTATTTAATGGTTTATATATAATATAAAATTTATTTTTTTAATATTTTAAATCATATACCTTATAGTTTTAAATTTCAATTTTATAAAATTCATAAATTTATGATTATATCTTTTCTTGTTTACCTTTACAATCCCGTTATTTATTATACCAACCCGCATGATATATGATGCTACATGTATGAAACTTAAAATTAGAATTTGTAACTTTCACGCAATTAAGATAAGTTTTTTTTTTCCTCTCCGTTTATCTTTAAAATCTTATTATGAATTCTACATGCATGATGCATGACCGTAATTGAACCATTAAAAATACATATTTGATTTTTAAAAACTTATCAACCAATTAAATGAGAATGAAATATCTAGGACCACAAAGAACATTTATCATAGTTCTATATCTTATTATATAAAAAAAAAATACATTCATTGTTCTTTGTTTTGTTGACCGTATTAATAAATTAGTAATAATCTCTTATTAGTAAAAAAGGATTTTTAGATTCAAGTCGTGGTATATGGGTGAACTAAGTTAAAAAATAAAAAATTATTATTTTTCATTATGAAATCCAAAATCAATAAATAAATAAAACATTTGTAATTTCTTATGGGTTGCATTTGGGAACTTAAATTTGAATTTGATGAGTGTATTTTAATTACATATATTTTAAGTACTTATTAAAATACATAATTTAGATAAATTAAATTTCTATGAATTTAAAATTGAATTGATATTAGTTCTTTCTATTGAGGCATTTTTACGAACACTTAGTAAACAATTTTAGTTGCCCATGTCAATTCCCCTACTTCTCTATTTTTATTTGAAGTACTGTGTCAAAAGACTCAAAACATCATAACCTTAGTAATGCAATTTATTGAATGGGTGGTGTGCAAAGCAAAAGAAGATTGTACTATTTCAGCCCTCATCACCTTAAGACCCAAAAATTTTCAAATATCAACCAATGAATCAATTAAATAAATTTAGCTAAAAACATCAATAATCACTCAGAAATAGAAAGGACTAATAGAGTTAAACACCTTGATTGAAAACGAGTTCCATTGCCCCTCCATTCTTGAACAAAATATGGAGCCCAACCAACTAAATATATGAAGTTAGAGAAGTTAAAACAGGTCCATGCCTTTAAATACAAGCACTAGTTAAGTGCGTGTTAATTAATTCTAAGAAAAAGAGGAGCAAAGTGAAGGGAGGTGGCCAAGCAAATAGATTGGTGGGGAAGGAGGTGAGGTGCATTGACGCTGTGAGTTCATAACTATTCCTTTGCCCAACCCTTCATACCCACATAAGAAGAAGAGAGAGCTAGTAATTCAAATTTGATTGACAAACTCATGAGTATACTAACCATGATATAGATTTGAAATTTACATCCAAGAATTATATCTAAAATTAAAAGAAAGAGAATATCTATGCCAAAGAAGGAGAAAAGGGTCTTGATAAAAAAATTACTAGTTACTAACGGTGAAATTGATCGAATATTTCATCAAGGATCTTACTTAATTTGACAAAATACCATAATTAAGAATTAAAATTCATGGGGTAGGCAAGATATTTGAAATACATGTAGTTTTTATTTTGAAATATACAATTTCAAATATATGTATTTGAAACAAATTTAAATACACTTTTCTTTAATATAAACAAATAATGTATTTTCACTATTTTGTACCCCAAAAAATAGTGTATTTAAATTTATAGTCTCAAATTCAAATACACTCTAATCAAACTCTTTTTTTTTTTTGGATAAAATGTAAAATTTTTATTTATCCAAACTGATTGTGTACAATATAAGCAGCAAATATGCTGTTACCGGAAAAATATCCAAAACAGAATATATAAATAACCAATATGCACAAACTTAACATCACACTACTACTACTTCAAGCCCCCAGTTGCATGCAATAGTTGTGGGCAATAATGAGGATTTTGGCTGAACAAAACCCAAAATTTTGCTTCTTACATCAATCTGGATATCATGAATAACCTGCTGGTGAAACCTCCTATTCCTCTTCATCCATACATGGTAGACAGAAGCATTCCATGTTAGCTTGATGAGAGTGTGATATAAAGACTTCCTTTGAATCTTCTTACCTAGCCAATGCATTAGGCTTTGCCAAGAATCAGTAAAAGGTATACCAATTATAAAACAAAGCTGCCACCATATATTACAGGTAAAATTGCACTTAAAAAACAAGTGTTCATTTGTCTCTAAACTATTATTGCATAGGATGCAAGTGTCAGCAATGGTAGGCGTCCATTGCCAAGCAATAAAGGTCTATTTACAAACAAAGTTATCTATTGGTGCGCTAACTGCCATACCATTTCCATAAAAATGGTATTTATCTCAATTTTATCAATTAATGTCAATTAGTCTGCTCTTATATTTTTTTATACAAATTTAATGTAAAAGCATATACAGTAGAAATTTTCAAAGATGCCCTCACCAGTATGCCTATTTCTCTCAAAATATCTATCATTTAATTTATTTTAAATTAATAATTTTTTTTACTTTAACTTTATTGTAACGATTAGCTTTAATTATTTATTTTATTACTAAAATTTTTTATCCACCTTATGAAAAATTTCAATCTAACAGTTACCTTTCAAAAGTATTAATTACTAAATACACAATATTTTTAGAAATCTCATGTGAAATACTTTTTCTAAAAGAAAACGAATCGTTGAATCTTATCCGACCGTAACTCAAACTCATCACCAACCGTCGATTTGGACGCTATAAATATAAACGAAATCGTTTCTGCTTCTACCAAACGCAAAGTCGGAGCAGACGGAATCGAACCAAGGTGAAAGCTCAGAGCGAATCGACAATGGCGGCAACCGTCTCATCTCCATGGGGCAAGCCTGGTGCCTGGGCGCTCGACGCTGAAGAACACGAAGCCGAACTCCAACAGCAGAAGGACCAGCCAAACTCCGCCCTTCCCACCAAGCAGCTCACGGATTTCCCCTCCCTCTCCGCTGCTGCCGCCACCAAGACTAAGAAGAAGAAGGGCCAGACCCTCACCCTCGCCGAATTTAACACCCATGGCGCCGATAAGTCCAGCCAGCCAAGTCGCCTTACGCATGATGAAATCCTTACGCTCCCCACCGGCCCTCGCCAGCGATCTTCTGAGGAGCTTGACCGTAACCGGCTCGGTGGTGGCTTCAAATCTTATGGCTCCAATAGGTACAATTCTAATGGTGACGATTCATCTAATAGGGATAATAATAGATGGGGATCATCTAGGGTTTCAAATAGAGAATCGAACAGAGAACTGCCACCGTCACGCGCTGACGAGATCGATAACTGGGCTTCGGCTAAGAAGTCAAACGGGAATGGAAATGGATTTGGGGGTGGATTCGACAGGAGAGAGAGGGGAGAAAGAGGAGGATTTTTTGATTCCCAATCGAAAGCAGATGAAGATGACAACTGGGTATTAAACAAGAGTAATAACAATGGCACAGAGCCTCCTAGGAGGTTCGTTGGTGGGTTCGAAAGGAGAAACAGTTTTGATTCCCTGCAGTCGAGGGACTCTCCAAGAGATTCAGATAATTGGGGTAAGAAGAAAGAGGAAAGTGGAAGTGGTGGTGTGAGGCCAAGGATTTTCCTGCAGCCACGGACTGTGCCTTTGAATGAGGAAGGAAAGAGGGAGTCACCGGCGGCTAAGCCAAAGGGGTCCAATCCCTTTGGGGAAGCAAGGCCAAGGGAGGAGGTATTGGCGGAGAAAGGGAAAGATTGGAAGGAGATTGATGAGAAGCTTGAGGCTGTAAAGCATAAGGAGGTGGTTTCAGGGGCTGAGAGAGGGGACAGAGGGAGGAGCAGTTTTGGTCTCGGGAATGGGCGAGCCTCTGCAGAGAGGAGCTGGAGAAAGAACGAATCTGCTGCTGCTAAGCCCCAGAGGTTTGTCTACTAGCCTCTTGACTATAAATTATTGGCCATGTTCTGTTGCTTTATTGTGCTTAGATGACTGCTGAATTTGTCAGTTGTGTGAGTGAATTGTTTAGATATCCATTCCATATGGATATACTTTGCCTATATTGTTAGGTCATGAAAAGTTACATTCTCTACAAAGAATTGCATGTGAAACTATTTATTCTCTCAAAGCCTGGTAGTCTAACTTGCTATGATGAATGTTGGGTTCTTCTGTGACTGTACTTTGTTCATTCCATTTAGTTGGAGGTAGGCTGATCATTTTGGAGAGTTTTTGTGACCCTTTTAGTTGACTACATAGAGTATGGTTATTTCTGATATTTCTTCCGGGAAAGGAAGCCTGCTTTGTTGTGAAATCTTGTGATTGGCTATAGTTCTATCCAGCAGAAGTCAACTGATAAACTTAGATATAAAAAATAAACAAACAAGGAAAACTGATGGAATAGAAGAGGTGGCATTTGGATGTTTTATCTGCGAACTGCAGTGTATTAAAATATTGTGCTGTAATAAAGCCAACACCTCCGATTTGGTTTTTCCATCCATGCTACCTTAACTACAAACAAGCTTTCACGAAATAAATTACTGGCTCTAGCACTTTCCAGTTTCCATTAAAATATCATTCCTTAATCTATTTTGCTTTTCTTTAATAAATGGGAAGATCCTCCAACTCAAGCCATTTGGAGTCTTCCAACATTTTAAACAAATTTTGATCTTGATAACTGATGTACTTGTAAAATTCTTTTTGTATTTTCCCTTCCACAGATTAGAAGATGTTCTTATCTGTAGCCTGGCTTGATACTCTTAAATATTTTTAGTTAGGACTATATAGAATTGCTTGTAAATTACACTTGCACCACTCTGAGGTCATTTGTACATCTTTATTATCACATGTTCTCCATGCACTGAAGTAACTTCAGTTTCTAACTCTAAAGTATTTCCCCCCTCTTTTTGGTATCCAGTGAGGAGAAGACTGACAATGGAAATGCTGCAGAGAATTGAAGATAGAGATTGGCAATTGCAAAGCTTAGGTCAAGGGGAAGAGAAGGCAAAATGATTTAGATTATCAAAGTTTTTATGTGCTTGATAGAAGATATTTTTATTTATCTTTTGTTGTGACCTTTTTGGCTGTCAGATGCAGTATTTAAACAATTTTGTTAGGACTCGAGTTAGTTGAACTGTCTTGACCATCAAGGTTTGTTTGCAGGGAGTTATTAGATTTCTTATTTATGAAATTTTGTTTTAAGTAGGGAGAACATGATTGTGGATTACTATTGTTTTGACATGTTGACGGAATAAATCAATGGTTTGAGCGTTCATGGATTTTTAATTCTTGATTAACACGATCTATGCACTGAGTTCCATTTCATTCGGAGGCAGTGTTCTAAATGTGTGGAGAGTCCGTCAAAAACGTCCGAGTTAATTGTGTTATGTTGGATGTACGAATTACAACTATTTACCCTATTGTTTTCACAGCCTAGAATGAAAATCAATATATAATTTCCTTTGCAGGAGGAAAGATGAAAAACCAAAAAAATTCTCTTTGCTGGTTCACGGTTATTTCTGGGCTACGGAAAGCCTCTTTTTTCTTCCTTGTGCATCAATGCCATATGGGCATTGAGTAAAGGTCATTGTAGATGGAACTCAAAATGTGCTAGCTGGAAAGAAAGAGCATGGCATGAAAACTGCCAGTTTTTAGCTTTGCACATGAGCAACACGAAACCCCGTCCCTCTCTGTAAATGCTTCCCTGCTTTTACGGTCACCTAACTCCCCATTTTATTACCCGGATTTTCAAATCAAAAAGAATACCGCCCATGAGAATTTCAGTTGAGACATCCATGCATTTACTATCGAATTTCATTACATTCAATTCTTAGAACCATGAGTACTTCATAGTATAGCAATAAGATGCCATTTTTTAAGTCATCAATTTAAGGACTGGTTTCTGGTACTTGGGTTTCGATGTTTCATAATCTGTCACCTAACAAAAGCATGCTCCATTAATACTTGCATTCAGATTCAATTGGCTGATAAATAAAGGACTGTTTGATGTATTTCTTTGTCTCTTCAAAAATCTGCAGGATTTATTTTTGTCTCTTCACGAATTGTCTCTACTCTTTCTCTCTTCCGTTTGTTTAAAACCAGAACTTAAATCCTCATTAATAAAGGCAGTTGAGGGTTGAAAATAATACATCAGTATGCCCTTTATCTACTCCTCTCTTGGAGCGGATGTTCATCAAAACACTACCCTTCTCACATTTTTCATTTTGTTGCTTTCTGGAGTTTGGTGTTTTCTACACCTTCCAAGCTTCATGGATTGGAGGCAGAGGTTTCTCTTAATAGCTTTTGTCGTTCTTGCAGCAGCCATAGATGGAGCTGAAGCATATGGCATGGTAACAGGCACCGTCTTCTGTGATCAATGCAAAGATGGCCAAATTTCCCTCTTTGATTATCCTCTCCATGGTAAACATGTCTTCCACGATCGTTGGTCACATTGTCGCTTTGTTCTTCCTTTCAGCTTTAATTTTGTCTTTCATAGTGCCCTTTCTTCTTTTTCTTTTTCTTTTTTTTTTGGAAATCCAAGTTTTTGACAGTTTAATGGCCTTCCTTGCAGGAATTAAGGTCATGATTAGTTGTGTTGATAGTAGTGGGCAGATCACAATGTCAATAGAAGAAACCACAAACTTGTTTGGAAATTATGCCATGAAGTTTGATGGCACACCAGACTTGAGCAATTGCCATGCCCAGGTTTCAGGTAGTGGCCAGGGGTCTAACATTTGCGGTGCAAAGGCCGGTCCTGCACAAAAACTCAAACTGATGTTTAGAATGTTTGATGTGGAGATGTATGTTGTGGATTCATTGCTTTCCGAGCCTGCTCAGCCTATGTCATTCTGCCCAAACTCAAGAAATCCTGTCCCCGCACCACCATTACCCACCAGCCCTCCTGCACCGCTAGCTCCTAAAGTACCTTGTCCACCCTTCGGGCTTCCACCACTGCCACCACTGCCACCGCTGCCACCATTGCCCGGACTGCCACCACTGCCACCGCTGCCATCATTGCCCCCACTGCCCCCATTGTCCCCATCGCCTTTATTGCCCCCATTGCCCTCATTGGCCCCATTGCCCTCATTGGCCCCATTGCCGCCCGTGACAGTCCTGCAGGAAGGGTCAGCATGTCCACATCAGTAAGTTAATCATTTAAAACAATTTTATAGGGCTCATTTGAAGAATACCAATGTAACAATGTTAATATTGGACACATGCTCTTTTTTCTAACAAATCTGTGCCTGACACTCCCTTTCAGGAACTGGAAAATGCAAGAGTACAAATGTTACTGGAGAGTATTGAATCCAGACTCAAAGGTTGCAGTTGTTTTTGGTCCCATAGCAGCCGCAAGATATGGGACTGATATGACTCTGTGGGAAGGTTTGCATGGGAGAGGAGACCCCTACAGAACCCTCCTGAGGGAAGCCACAACTGCACTTCTCAACTCTTACAACAGTCTTGAATTCCCTTACCATACAGTGGGTGTTATCACAGACATGAATTTGGCATTAAGAGGCTCTACTCACAGCACCCTTCTTACTGCTTTGAGGTTCATGAGGGCTAACTCTGGGTTTGGCAGACTCCCCTGCAAATTCAGCCCTTGCGAATGATCTCTTCATGTCATTTCTAGGCTAATTATATTTCATTATATACTGCTACCATAGTTAGCCAAAAGTGAAGATCTCTGTTATTTTATGTTATCTAGTCTTATGTTTCTGTTTGCAGTAGACCAGAATAGGTGTATTGAACAATTTTTCACTAATATTGTTAATGAGAAAAGGGTCGTGATTCAGACGTGGAATGCTTTTCCAGTTGACCCTCTTTGAGAATGAAGTTCAAGATATCTGTGTTTTTAGGATGGACCCTTTTCAAGGTTGGTGCTTGTTCTAAGTTTTCAGAGGTTGACACATTGTTTGCACTAATTCCATTCAACAGGACAAATTAAACAGTTCTAAAACATGTCTAATGACCAATACAACAGGTCCCACTCTTCATTTCCTAAATCTTAAGATTCAAACTTGAAAATTCTAATTTCAAAGCTGCCTACCCGTGATAGCTCCCCTTTTTCTTCATTCATTCTAAAACTACTCAGATCAGTATTGGAACAAAAATCACGAGGCATGTGCCAATCAGCATGTTTCCAGCCATTCAATGCTCATGGATCTAGTGCACCAATGAAGAACTGAACTGAATCAGTCAACCAGACAAAAAGTTGAAACAAGCTGGAGGCAATGGTGACTCCTAATGCAGATTGGGCTACTTTGCTTGCAATTAGTGGGTTCCCATTAATTAGTGCCCTGCCGCATATGATAATGAAAGGGTCCCTTTTGGCATTTCTCTTGGAGGACTAAAGGGCACAGAACCAAAGGTTAATGAATTTGCTTATAGCTTCGGGCAGGCTACCAAAGCATATGGTTAGGGAATTCTCTTCTTAGGTCAACTATTGCAAATTCCCATGTTTTGTTCTGAATCTACAGATTCATATAGCTGTTATCATATGAAATTGTTTACAGTTTTTCCTCATTGCCTAATTCAATTATTAAATCAATGCAACAA